TAGTTTATATGAAGGACTAGCACTCTTTTGACCTGCTCTATATAACCCTTTAATTTTTCCCCGTAGTTACCGGACATCCTGTATATTTTAAAGTTTTTACTTAATATTACATAAATGTTACATGAATTTTACTTGAATATTCCATGGAAACTGGTTACCATAGAAAGTTCAAGGAATTTTACCAATTTTTCCACCACTTTTTATATTCTCACGATTGAATCCGTATCTTGCCTCTGATTGTTCTATAGTTTCCTTGGCAGAAACCCAGCACAAGTAGCATATAAACTTGTTCGCTAAATATAAATTTTCCAGCCATTTTCAAAAACAATCAGGGGCAACTGTTGAAATAAAATAATTTTATTACTAACTGACAAGTTTGAAAGATAAATTCATTGACTACTATTGACTTTTTGATTATTTTCTAATGAACACTGTTAAAATCTTGTGTCAATTAATACGGGTTTTCTTGAAAACCATAAAGTTTTTTGAAATTTAACAAGAATTTAAAATTAAATTCTGCTGTGAACTAATATAATTTTTCAATTCGGTCAATGAAAAAAAAAGTTCTAAACAATTTTAGGGGTGAGTTATTCCCAATGAACACCTTGTAGTGCTTCAATTAACTTTAAATCATAGTCAAACAAGACCAGTAATAAACCTAAATCATGTACCAAATTTGATTCTTTTACGGTAAAGTGTTGCAGAGATATTATTTTTTTTTCGAAACTTAGGGCTCCACTTTGGGGGCTAATAACTCCTCAGGGGTGCAACTTTGAATATAGGTAAGTTTGGTTAAATTACAATATTTTGGACACCCCTACATGCATCTGCCCTGTATCGGTTCTTATGCGGGCACCTGTATTCAGACATGAGTGTATAAGGTGTATAAATTATTTTACAAAAACAGTGTAGAGCTAAAAGTTTTATAAAATAAACATTTATTTTTTTATCATTTTTGTTGTTTTTTATTCGGAAATTCTATTTAGGTAGGGTTCATCACATCTATAAACCATTATTCCTTAATTCATTCATTCTGACACAAGATACTAATAAAAATGGATAATGTATATGTATGTACTGTACAGCTTTTCACAAAATAACTTTATTTTATAATAAAACAATACAACAATGACCAAATTATCTCAACACAACACCTCGTCAGTCGTCTGTGGTCATTCTCTCTCTCCCGTGTCCCTGCCTTTCAGTCCGAATTTCCGCGCCTTGGCCTTCACTTCTTATCGTTGTTTTATAAACAACGGCCCCAGTCGAAATAATACCCTAACAGTACTTTTTTTCTTATAAAATTGTGTTAAAATGAAGTTATTTATCCTGAATTTGCCTCGGTTACAATTTTTTCTGAAAGAATAAGTGGACAACCATGTTAGAAATGGAAAACGTGTGAATCATAGAATTGTCTCTTTATAAAAGGATCTTCCTTTGTCTAGAATAGAGCGAGAACATATTTTATAGTGTACTATTTTTTTTCTCAATAAAAAAATTACTGATCTGAGTAAATTTAATATAGGAAAAGCTTAATATGCACTGATTCCATGGCAATCTTGACTTTATTCATTACCGCATAAATTAAAACGTTGTGGAAACTATCAAAGTATATATAACATGTATACCGGGTAATTCAGTTTGAAATTCGCGGCCTCGTATCTCTTTTATTTTAGCAAATAGCTATAACAAACCCTATATATTTTTAAATCGCCGCTGAAACTCTATCAAATTACATTATTAGATCGTCTCCATGGTAACATATGTCAAAATTGCTATAATCCACCGTTTTTGTTCAACTGGCACACTATATATTTTTTTATCAATTATGGAAAATATTTTTTCTGCATTCAGCTGTATAAGGAAGTCTTATAGTTTCATTTGACATATTGCTAGAAAAACAGCAAAAAAGATGAACCCTACTTTCAGTGGCTTTATTAAGAAACATGATAGCGAGCTGTGGAAACAACTGAATTTTGACGTTTCTAAATAATGGTTTGAGAAAATAATTGACATTTTGTACCTATTCTATCTATAACTAATTATAATATGAATACTTACAGTAACCAAGAAATACTAGATATGATTTTAATTTATGGAGAGTGCCGAAAGAAGCCTAAAACTGCCAGGCATTTATACCATCACCGTTTTTCGCAGAGACAACTTCCACAGATAAAATTTTGGGAAAGTTAGTCACGAATTTGGCAGCAGATGGAAGTTTTCATAAGAAAAGAAGAGTTTTTAAACCCAAAAGAGCAAAAGATGAAGAGCATTCGATAAAGATTATAAAGGGCTTGCTTTTCCGGATCTCACTATAGATTTCTTTGGCTTTACCTAAAAGAAAACTCGCCTTTGAATGATATTGACGTCCTTAAAAACAGAATAAGAGTAGAATGTCGAAGATTAAATGAAGAAACACTAGAATGTGTTTGCAGAGAAGGAGATAAACAGAGCTATTCTGTGTTTAGAAGCAAATGGAGGTCATTTTAAACATTTGAAATAAGTATTATCTTAAATTGTTATATTATTATCGTATTAAAAATGAAATACATTATGTTACTTTAAAATACATAATACATAACTTGTTTCCGCAGCTGGCTATCATTTTTCAGAATAAAGCTACTAAAAGTAGGGTTTATCTTTTTTGCTGTTTTTCTAGCAATATTTCTAATGAAACTATAGACTTCCTCACATAGCTGAACGCAGAAAAAAATATCTTCCATAATTGATAAAAAAATATATAGTATGCCTATTGTTTTTTTATGAACTTCTTAAAAATAAAAAGGATAGGTTTTTCTTAAAGCTTCAGCACGTCTCATTTTTTTTTATAGATATGAGACCAAACAAATAATACCCTTGTATTTGTATCAGTGTAGTTTTTAAGGGCACAGTCCCGCCACAGCTACAATTAAATATGTGCAAAATTTGTATTTACCTTTTTGCCAGTCAGTTTTTGTTGAAGCAAAGTCAACAAGGAAACTTTTGTAAATTATTGTTATTATTGTATATACCTACACGCATATGAAGGGTAACAAACGAATAAAGAACATCCGAACACATTAGTTTGCCTCAGGTACGTAGGTATATACAAGGTGTTAACGAAATATGATGAAAACCTTAGTAGAGTGAGTTTTTGTCAGTGGCGGCCACTAAGGGAGATACAACCCCTTGAAGGGGTAACTCAGGAAACAGTTTTTATTTCATAACTTCAAAACGGTTTAATATTAAATCACGAAATTTTGGGGATGTATTACTATTTATATGCTTAATAATCAGTATAATATGCAAACAAAAATTTGCTACAGGGGCCTAAGAAAATGCGGGATCATGGGGCAAATTTTACAATTTTTTTTGGACGCAATTTTTTCTACTTCCTAAACCGAAAATATGAAAATTTATCATATTTTGCATAAAAAAGCTATTCTTGTTAGATTTTAATAGCATGAGCAGTTTTCTAGTAAAATCCATTGCAATAATTCATTACTTGCCCGAACTTCCTACTGCAAAATAAAAAATGTATCAAATTGTGCCGTGAGAATATTATTATTTTTATTTCATTTTCCTCTTGTACTGTTATTATTATTATTATTATTATTGTAGTTGTTATGTAACTGTTACTAAAGGGTTTTATATTACAGTTAAATAGATAGTTCTGTAGTAAACAGTAACATAAATAATTTTGAATAATAAAAATCAAATAATACCAAAAAAAGATCCATGAAACATAAACTTACGTATGTTTCCATTTTCGAATTGGTTGATACCTGCCCACCGCGGATAGGTGATCCGCGCGGATTCCTCTGTATCTAAACTAGTAGCCTTATAATAATTTAGTTTATTTATAATATGTTTATTACAGTATCTAAATTTAAATTTCTTAGATTGGAATGTTGAGTAGGTAAAGTAATCAGTAATTGACATATACTTGACACCTCTGTTAAGTGTCATAAATGGTAATTTTCTTATGGCACAATTTGGTACATTTATTTTCAGCAGGAATTTTTGAGCACGTAATGAATTATTGAAATGAATTTTACTAGAAAACGGCTCTTACTATTAAAATCTAACAAGAGTACCTTTTTTATGCGAAATATGATAAATTTTCATAATTTGGGTTCAAGAAGTAGAAAAAATTGCGTACAAAAAAAATGTCATATTTGCCCCATGGTTCCGCATTTTCTTACGCCCCTGTAGCAAATTTTGATTTGTATATTATGACGATTATTAAGCATATAAGTGGTAATACAACCCTAAAATTTCATGATTTAATATTAAACCGTTTTGAAGTTATGAAATAAAAACCGTTTCCTGAGCTACCCCTTCAAGGGGCTGTATCTCCCTTAGGGGCCGACACTGAAAAAAACTCTACTAAGGTTTTCATCATATTTCGACATGTTTTACATACCCTCCAATTTTGAGTACTTATTTCGTTAACATATTGTATACAGTGGAGGAAGGAAAAGATCAACAAATTCTCTCCTTTGATGTGTACTTTGTCATCAAAAAGGAAGTAAGTATCTCGAAGAATCTGTATGCGGGTGTACCGAGTTTACTTTAAATCGTACGCCAGATCCAAATGATATGGTCACTGGCCAAACATTTGTCAAACATAAATGTCAAATATGCAAAAATCCTCAGCGCCATCATGAAATATGAGTACATGACCAATCCTGAAATATAAAAATATAATTAGTTTTGGCAAATATTTGGCAAGTGAAGATATTCTTTCGAATGTCGATATGCAATACCACACGATATGGCATTTGTTTACGTTTGACAAATATTTGGCTAATCCACATTTTCTGGAGATAACGATTGAAATTGAGTAAATGGTTGCGTTAGCAATTATTAAGAGAAAATGTAGACGTCAAAATAAATTTTGTAGGGAATTTGTCACATTTCGTTCGCCCTGTGTGTATATGTCTCAACAGAGCAAAATCTTCAATGTGATGTGAAACACTTTTAGCAATTTTACAATGTCCTGTACGTTGTTCCAAACGTACTAAGATGACTGGTATTTTTGTGGAACCAAGTATAGAATTATATATCATTAGAGAGGTTTTACTTGCTTTAATTTTGAGTAAAGTCCCGTACAATATTGCTGAACCATGTGAATTTGTGAAAGCGTACTAAACAAAAACAATGCTGTAAACAAACAATAAAGAAACAATTTGCAAATTTCCTTTCCCTTCACCTTTTCCTTTCCTAAAAATTCTCACCGATCAAAGTGCAGGCCACTATGATTCTCAGCTTGATTTTTACCTCTAAGATATTTTTGTATTTTTCCTAAGATGTGATTTTTTTTTAACATAAAACAGTACCTAAACCAAAAATATAAATTAAAATCCTTTAAAATCCTACGTCCGACTGATAGATGTGGATCTACGCCGATCTCCAGATGTAAGTTTAAAACAAAGATCTAAACACAATGCTTAAAACAGACACGTTAAATTGAATACTCACTTGCATCAGCATCTAACATAAATAAGTGTGCTTTTGTCGCTATGACAGTGATCACTGTTTTTCTCTGATTCAAATATATTTATCCAAAAATTTGCTTTTCTCACTTGGTTAATCATATTTTTATATCGCAACAAATTTCGTTAGAACAGAAATACGAGTACCTAGAATGCGAAATGGAAATAGGTAAATATATTCAGATCATTATTTATTAATTGTGACAGATACATAGGTATATTTCAAAAGTAATATTATTATTTTGTTTGTGTTTTTAGGGCAGAGTTAATTGGTAATCGATATAATTTAATTCTCTAAAATAGTTTGACCTTTCTCGATTCCATAAAGGCATCATAATTATACATGTTTCTATTTAAAACTGTAAACATACATCAATTTTAATCCAAAAAATTACGGCTTTATTTTAATATTAAAACGTAGCTTTTTACAGATAAAATGAAATTTACAACACTGCATATTGATTCTACTCTTAGATAGAGAAAAATACAGAACTTTAATAAATGATTACAAGCCACGTGGCTATCGGGCTTAGGCAACAGTAGGTATGGCGACAGTAGAGCCAGACGGACGCCCGAGACGCCGGGCGTCGGGACGCCCGCTTGTGGCCTTCGGTGGTGTGCGATCGCGGGTCGCTCGGCCCCCGATCGGCAGGTAGGTACAAGCGAGTTATGGAACCTGGGACTGGGGAAAGGTAAAATAAGCATTAGACAATTAATTCATTTCGCTCGGTCATAATTAACATATATCCGGCACATGATTATTTATAATTAATGTAAAGATACATGGGGTAAGAGAATATTTTAGGAATTGAAAATAGGTATTTATTCTTAATAATTGCATACGTTATGTCGAACTATATATACGTTGACAATTATTTTTAGATAATTGAGTGTCAAAGTATGGCCATAATCCTGTTTATCAAGATTTCAGGTAAGTATTGTAACTGTCTAGTTTACCTTCATGAAAATTTAAAATTTCTTCAAAAAATTGCATAGAATGTTTCGATAATTGTTTGACTAGAAAAGTATAATATATACAGATCTACAAATAAGGAAATTCGTTAAATGGGTTAGTAAAGTGTTCGACAAATAAGTAAAGCACAAAATGTAGAGTCGAGGTGGCCGAGGAGGTATTATAAGTATTTATGTACCAAAGCCCGTGTACTCTGGGACGTTGCCATAATTGTTTTTATTAGTCTGTCTATACATTTCAATCATTACAGATTTAGTGTTCCTGAGACAGAAAATTGTTAAATAAATTTGCAACGTTTTTCGCTTATAATATACAAGGGCAAGATATATTTTTTATCACAAAACGGGTAAGGGTTACGGTTAATAAAGATTGCACTCTAAGATTTGCTTACATTTAAGAAGTGTTTGTAGATGCTTTAAAAATTAAAAAATATTTATCTGTAATTGACAAAGCCCAGAGGTATATTTTATATTACATGCTTAATTTTAACACATTGTTTTCATTATTAGCATACTTTAGAACTACAACAGAAAACTGCAAGGTTCAAATAAGAAAAGAAAATATATGAACCTAACAACACCTTAAAAATAATAGAAAAACAGGCATCGCCCAATCATAACTGTAGTCAAACAAAAAGACATTGGGATCATTTACAACAGGTCAAGTTGATTTTCCATCTATAATTAGATCAAAATTTGGAACAAAATTATATCGGATATAAATAAATCTGTGTGGCTCTGTATATCGCGTGTATCGTATATTAGCTATATGTGTAGTGACAGTATATGCACATACAACTCTGAAACCGAAACGATAATCTTTCTGTATGTTCTTTGTCTTGTTCTATTAAAAATATGTAATGGAACAATATTTATTAGCTATCAATAACCATCTGGCAATTATCGCCGAGATCCCCAGTGTTAAAATAAAAATTCAAAACAAGGGAATTGAAAATGTAATTTTAAATATAAAGTAAATTTTTAGTTATCTTTATATTCATTACCTATAACTGGTGATTAGCAGAGTGTATCAAATTTATACAAAAATAAGCATCACTTGCAACTTCTACGATAAAACGTAGTGAGTTGTTAATATGATACTTTTAAGTGAATATCAAGTCAGCAGTAGTCTTATGACATAACCGACAGCAGTATTTTTATTTTAATAGGAAAAAATACTTATTGGGTAAAGTATTTCCACAGTTATTATAAATATAATAGCGCACAAACATTTAAAAATACAATGTGTATAAATATTCCCGATATAACTATTAATGTATTCATAACTTAACCGGAATATATTTGGGTGTATTAGCCCAATGTAAATACCTCTTTTAATATTATGTGTACTTACCTCCATAACTATTTACGGCTATTTACCAAAGTTTAAAATAATACAACAAGCTAACGAGCCGAAAAGACAAGTACCGAGATATATTCATTCCGTTACTTTCTTTAATAATAAGGCTAATATTTTTACATACGTGAGCGTATAATAAAAGTATATTAATATAAGAAAAAATAAAATTAAAGTTTACACTGTAGACAGCCCTAGCAAACTTTTCTCTATAATTACGTCTTATAAGATAAAATTTGGCAACAAAATTATTTCGAACACAAATAAAAAATATGTTTTTATATATCATATGTAATGTCACAGTTTTAAAATAAATTACATTTTTAGACATTGCCATAACCATAAAGTCTCAAGTATAATTTTACCTAACGATTCGCTTACGACAAATTTCCATCGTATATGTTAATGCTTCAGGCGTCCTTTTTATTAAAGAATGTAATGGAATTTCTGTTATCCGACAACTAGCGCAAATGTTACTGCATTGAAAGTTATTAATTAAACCTATTCAAAACAAGAGAGTTTCAAACTATAAATATAATTGAATACATTTTTCTATTAAGGTATAGTGACTATAACGTTTCAAGTATACCGAATTCCTCAGAAAAATACTGTTTTACTAAAAATTGCTTGAGGCGTAAATATGTATTACATGTGTACAAGCGAAGGCATAAAAGCGTTCAAATTATCTTGGTACACCAAACTTGTGTACAGGTTTTAAGGTAAGGTGTTAGTGAATATGTGAATAGGTAATATTTAGATATATGTACTTAGAAACATGTATTTGTTTTTAGTACTTAGTGGAAGGGAGATGAAGGTGGAAAATGTAATATGTATACGAAAATAATAATATATTTTAAAATATCCTTTATGATAATGAAGCGAGATGCATGCGAACGTAGGGGGATATATTTTGCTAGAAATATTATTTTAAGGGGAATATTAGCTAACCGAAATAACATTCTTAATCAGTGGAAACAGACAAGACTTTAGTATATCTATCCATTTACATTTAGGTAGTGTACAGTTTTTCACAAAATAACTTTATTTTAGAATAAAACAATACAACAATGACCAAATTATCTCAACACAACACCTCGTCAGTCGTCTGTGGTCATTCTCTCTCTCCCGTGTCCCTGCCTTTCAGTCCGAATTTCCGCGCCTTGGCCTTCACTTCTTATCGTTGTTTTATAAACAACGGCCCCAGTCGAAATAATACCCTAACAGTACTTTTTTTCTTATAAAATTGTGTTAAAATGAAGTTATTTATCCTGAATTTGCCTCGGTTACAATTTTTTCTGAAAGAATAAGTGGACAACCATGTTAGAAATGGAAAACGTGTGAATCATAGAATTGTCTCTTTATAAAAGGATCTTCCTTTGTCTAGAATAGAGCGAGAACATATTTTATAGTGTACTATTTTTTTTCTCAATAAAAAAATTACTGATCTGAGTAAATTTAATATAGGAAAAGCTTAATATGCACTGATTCCATGGCAATCTTGACTTTATTCATTACCGCATAAATTAAAACGTTGTGGAAACTATCAAAGTATATATAACATGTATACCGGGTAATTCAGTTTGAAATTCGCGGCCTCGTATCTCTTTTATTTTAGCAAATAGCTATAACAAACCCTATATATTTTTAAATCGCCGCTGAAACTCTATCAAATTACATTATTAGATCGTCTCCATGGTAACATATGTCAAAATTGCTATAATCCACCGTTTTTGTTCAACTGGCACACTATATATTTTTTTATCAATTATGGAAAATATTTTTTCTGCATTCAGCTGTATAAGGAAGTCTTATAGTTTCATTTGACATATTGCTAGAAAAACAGCAAAAAAGATGAACCCTACTTTCAGTGGCTTTATTAAGAAACATGATAGCGAGCTGTGGAAACAACTGAATTTTGACGTTTCTAAATAATGGTTTGAGAAAATAATTGACATTTTGTACCTATTCTATCTATAACTAATTATAATATGAATACTTACAGTAACCAAGAAATACTAGATATGATTTTAATTTATGGAGAGTGCCGAAAGAAGCCTAAAACTGCCAGGCATTTATACCATCACCGTTTTTCGCAGAGACAACTTCCACAGATAAAATTTTGGGAAAGTTAGTCACGAATTTGGCAGCAGATGGAAGTTTTCATAAGAAAAGAAGAGTTTTTAAACCCAAAAGAGCAAAAGATGAAGAGCATTCGATAAAGATTATAAAGGGCTTGCTTTTCCGGATCTCACTATAGATTTCTTTGGCTTTACCTAAAAGAAAACTCGCCTTTGAATGATATTGACGTCCTTAAAAACAGAATAAGAGTAGAATGTCGAAGATTAAATGAAGAAACACTAGAATGTGTTTGCAGAGAAGGAGATAAACAGAGCTATTCTGTGTTTAGAAGCAAATGGAGGTCATTTTAAACATTTGAAATAAGTATTATCTTAAATTGTTATATTATTATCGTATTAAAAATGAAATACATTATGTTACTTTAAAATACATAATACATAACTTGTTTCCGCAGCTGGCTATCATTTTTCAGAATAAAGCTACTAAAAGTAGGGTTTATCTTTTTTGCTGTTTTT